TTATTAAGTAAAGCTGTGTTGCATTTATGATTACATTTGCCTGACAATGCCAAGCCACTTTGGTGGCTTAAAGAAGAAATACTGCATGACCAAAGGTATTTTGTGCATCTGAATTCACAGTAACTTCCCAAATTACGTAATGCAACACCAATAAAACATAATTACTCTGGTTTAAGAGAATCTTTGCAGTTCTTAATGTTGTTCCTAATAAAAGTGCATGTTGCCATTGAGAGAAAAATATGTGAGTTAATAGATTGAATCCTGGGGTTCATTCCCCATTCCACCAATGACTTAGACATTAGCCTGATCCTCCCTGAGCCTCACTATTCTCATCTCTTTTAAAATAAGGGGCTTGGATTTTGTCTATTATTCCTCCCAAAAGCAAAATTCTACGGTTTCTCTGAACACAAGTGATATTCATCCCTGCTTCTAGTTTTCTACCTTTTTTCACTCTATTTACCTTAATTGGGGGAATGTACATATTACAAATAAAAGATGATTATTTGACTCATTAGGTTTAGGATACACGCCATCTCAAATATCCTCAACCCTTACTTCCAGACTTTTATTGCTAAAATTCACATTTTCCTCTCACTTGATATCCATACTTTCTAATATTCTGTCTCCTAAATTTATTAATCTGCTCAAACGAGAACTGATTTCTACCAACATGGGTTTAAATTTGCGTTTTCTATTGAATCCACTCCATTTCATTAAATTATCCCATTTGAGGGTCATTGTTTTGTTCTAAATGGTTTAGCACCTCATTTCACCCTCCCAGAATTATTTACAGTGTAGCTACACACCCCTTTTCAGCATACTTAGGCTTGTGCCTCCCAGAAAGAACTTCCCTTCCCTGATAGAACCATTTGTCTGGTATGAAAGCTACTACCGTTCCAATGTCACTTCCCATATAGCAATGAACTCATTGAAAACATGAGCAAGTCTGATGCTTGTTGCATCGCATGTGACTTCATTGAACAAGCAATGATTTCTTCTGTCTTTCTGAGACTAGTTTAGTTCAGTGTGAATAAAGGCAGTAAAGTTTAGTTGAAGAAGATGAAGTAGATGTCTGGAAGCTGGGTAGATCTGAGTAATTGAGAAGCGCAGGATGTTCCAAATTATAAGATTTATTGTGCATCTATAGACACTTTATACGATATGAATAGTAATGGGCTAATCCTTATACATATTGCTAGCACTGTGGGACTTCAGATGGCATTTGTCATTTGCTTTAAAGGAAAAAACCTAAGGGAATGTTACCACCAAAGAAAAGGGGCTTCACAGATTCCATTATCCCATCAGATTAAACTTTGATGATCAGAACTCTTTTCCTTTCTAACACTTGAGTTACAGAGGGCCTGAGAAACCAACCTCAGAAACCATTTTAAGAATAAAACACATCACCAGCATTGGGGAATCTTATTCCCTCAGTCATTATTCATACACCAAAACAGGTGCTGGAAAGATGGTGGTCTAGAGGTAACATGAAAAGGCGAAATCTAATGCTACCATTTTGGCTTACCCTTACAAAGATTACACGTGGGGGTCCCAGAAGACTGGCTTCTCAGCTGGCTTAGAAGTAAGGGATGGTTTGCCTCAAAACACTGAATTCAAGTTGAGTTATGTCCAAAGAAGTAAAACGAGCACACATGATGAGAGCTTATGGCTTTATGAGTTCTCACAATTTCAAGCCTTTGCTGAAGGCCCTCCCCCACTCTCTATCAGATTCTGCCGGGGATTTCAGGGACAACACCTGCCCCCAGCCCCATGACACAGGGCACCCTGGGACAGCCAGGAGCTGCAGGTCCGGGTGACCTCTCTTCCCACCAAGTTACTGGAGTAGCCGCCCCCCCTCGGCCTCACTGATCATCTATTTACTGTGTTCATGTTGGGATTCTTGGCCAACTGGCAGCACAAGGAGGGGGGAAAGAACCACGGTGTCTTAAGTGCATTAAATCTTCATATTAGCCCCCTGGCTTGGTAAACCTTTATGTTGGCTTTGTTTTCTTTTTTTCAAGCATGACAAACAAGTGGTTTTTCTTTTTCACTTTAATGATTCTTTAAACAAAAAGGGGTAGTTTAGGGCTTTCTCCGAAGCTGATAGGTGTTTCTTTTTAATGAGGTTTTTATTATACTGCGTTGGCTTCCCTGAAAAGGAATTACAAGCAGCAAACAGCTGATAATAGAACAGACTGGAAGAAACAATAACCAAGAGAGGGAAGAATTAGTGTGGCGGTGGACGCACACGTTGTAGCTCTGGGACTAAACGCCACCGCCCCTCCCTTGGCCACCATTACACCAGTAATTAAGTGATGTGGGCACTCATGGGCCAGTTCTGTGTGCATGAGAGATATGGATATAGATATAGACCCAGCTAAACTGCCATCTGTGGAGGAAGAAGGGTGGTGAGCTCAGTCTAGACAAAGATGAGTGTAGCTCAGAGTGCAGGTTTACAAGGGCTGGCCAGTTACCATGGAAACTAATTGGAGCTAATAAGTAAAGGCACATTTTAACTGTGGGAACAGAATAGGAGGGGCCATTTTTCAATATCACCGTTACCTACAATTAATCTTTCATTTTAGGAGTGTCCTTACTTAATTCTTACGATGGAGCCATTCCCTCTACACACAACCTCACCCTGAGCCGCATTACGTTCAAATGCTGAATGTCATCTTTCAGAATGCGCCATATTTTAGGTTTAGATCTTTCAAGACAGAATCAATTTCACTTTTTTTTTCCTTAAAAAATAAACTGTTTGCAGATGGCAAGGAGAAAGGAAGGGAGGTAATGGAAAATTCTTAACTTCTAAGCGGACACTCTGCTGAGCACCGAAACTGTGGCTCCAGGGAGAGGGAAGCTGGGACCTTATCCTGCAGCACCAGCTTCAGGTTTTTGTTTGAGTTGATTTTCCTTAACAAAAACATTTCAGAACATCAACAACAACAAAAAAAATGTGTCACTGTGGACTCATCTTACAATACTCTTGAAAGGTAATGTTTGCGGACACCCCACAGAGCAAGGATTAAGTTCATGGCAAATGAGCAGGATCTATTGCCCAACTTGTATTTTTTTTTTTATTTTAAAACAAGTTTTAAGCAGTATAAATAGCTGAAGTTATCAATAAAAGGGAAATGGTAACTGGGATTTAATGAAAAGATTTACAGTCAAGAATAGAATAAAAATGTTTGTGTTAAAAGGCACTTTCCACAATAATGTGGGTCAGAGCCAGGATCACTTGGGAAATGTCTTATGGAAGGTGTATTACAAGCACAGGGTTGATAAAACACGATTCAACACCTTTATAGTTTCTGAGGTTTTACTTTTGTAACTCAATTTACAGTTTAAGAGAATGCAAACCACCTTAATAATGTCTCGAGGGCCTTCAAAATCTATGCAGTTGAGGTAATCCAGATTTTCAGACATGAGTCTGGTTGGATTAACAAAAAAAAAATTAATGAAAAAAATTGCCTCGCAATAATTGGCACTATTAAAATTTTTACGGTGCCCAAGGGAAGTTTTAGCCCTGTGGTGCCACTTGCCATTGTTGAAGGTTTCTGTGTCGATTATGTATCTGGATTTAGCTGATTAGGAGTAGTGATTTAGTACATATAGTATATATTGTGAAACACACACCTCATAATCACTTCTGGGAAGAAATTAAGCAAATGAATCAGAACTCCAACCTCTAATTCTTTTTTTTTTTTTTCCCTTATCTTCCCTGCAGCCAGGTTATAGAAAAAAAAAAAAATCACTGTCTGAAAATTAGAGTTCTTAATTCTGTACTTCAAAAAATTGCACCAAGAGTAACTTTTTAAGTATCTTAATATAATAGCACATAAAAATTCCTAAAAAAAGCAAGCTAGTCAAGTCAATTTTGCTAGGTACTGAAATAATTCTCTTTGTGATACTGGCGCTCCAAACATGAGATACCCATTTGTAGTGTAGATTTTAATGTTTGGGACAAATTTAAAGTTTTTTGGGGTTTTTCTGCCAGCGCTCCCCATCCCAGTTCAAAGAAATTCGAAAGGTGCAATATTTAAAATGTTGGCTCCCCACAGACCCTGTCAGGGAGTTGATAATATTTCAAATTCCTATTTTCCTTTTCAGATTATCGAAATTCCTCAGAAGTCTGATGGCATTTTTCAAGTGCTGAGATTTGTGGCAATTAATTTATTTCCAGATATCTCCTTAAAACATTGTAACAAGTATAGCCATTTTCTGGTTCGGACTGCTCTCAAAGTAATTAGTTCTGGAAAACAGTTCAGAGAACTCAAAAAAGGAAAGAAAGAAAGACATGCACATAAGAAGGAGGTATTAAAATGACCAAAAATTGAAAACATTTCAAAGCAAAATTGTTAATGAGCTGTTTGAGCTATATGGACATTATAAGTGCAATTAACTAGAAGCCAATAAAAATAATCAATGACAGAGTGCAGCCCTCTGGTACCAAGAGCTTTTACAAAGAGATGTCTGTGAAAGCAGCAAGTGATTAAAAAAGCCACCTTTATCTGTGGGAGTGTGTGCTATTTTACATGAGGAGAAACTAAAATGATTTTCATTGACTATTTCTGAAGTTCAGCCTGTGGCAAACAGTGAAGAGCTGTATGTGGGAATAGATCAGTTTCTGCTCTTAGCTGTGCCCCCACCGCCTTTCTTCCTGGAATGTTGGAGGCAGCCATGATCTAATCAAAGGAAGGTAGGAGTTTAGATCTCCAAATGTAGATGTCACATTTCAGTGCAAACTACTCCTACATTAACACGTTATCAGTATGTCAGGATGAATCTTTTATCTCCTGGGGGTGGTGGTGGTGTATGTGTATGTGTGTGTGTTGGGGGGGTGCCTCGCTGGGAAGATTGCCCTCCCCAGGTTGGCAGGAAAAGATTTTTAGTGTTTCTGTGCATCCCTCGGAGGGTCCCAGTCGTCCCCGGGGAGCACAAGGAGTTGTGAAAAGTAACGCACAACTGGCCACCAGAATAATTCATTCCCTCCACCTTCTCTTTAGCACCTCCCACTTCTCCTCTCTTTATAGCCGTCCTTTCTCTCTGAAATCTCAGGTTACTTGACTGGGAGTTCTCAGACCTCCAGTTTCAGTCCTGCCCTCAGCCTCCAGTCGGTGAGAGACACCCAGCCCCAGCAATTGGATTGGGCAGCCCGTCTTGAGACACCACTGTGCTGAGTGCTTGAGGACGTGTTTCACCAGATGGTTGGGGTTAGTGTGTGTCATCACATTCGAGTGGGGATTAGGAGCAGGAAGCCTGCCTTGCTGGAGCTGTGTGGTCTCCTCCAAGTGAGAGCGGCAGGCAAGGAAACTACTTTGCTTTTGGAAGAAGAAGAGGAGGAATTCATTTTCTGCAGCCACAAGAAAGGCAGTTTTTTCAGGTAAAGTAAAAGACACTGAACGCTTCTCTCTCTCTCTCCCTCTCTCTCCCTTAACATAGTTTTGAATGGAATGCTAGCGCAGCACACTTGTCAAAGCCAGTTGTTGCAATCCTATCAATGCTGCTATTGTATGGTGGACAGATAACAGTGAACATAGCTTGGTGCTTGGCTGTCTTTATAGAACTAACACTCCTCATGCCTTGCTCTTGAAGGTGTAGCTAGGAGAATGTCTTTTGGAGCGGTATTTGTACGCTTTAATAGTCTCGTCACCTACCCAAAACAGGAGCTATAAATTGTTCATAAAGGATGGATCAGGCCAAGAAAGCCTTTATTTTAGCTTTCAGAATTAAAATTCACTCTCCAAACTGCTGCATTTTGCCACTCAGTTTATAAAGATCCTCTTAGGAGTCTATTTCTGAGTTGCTGGCAGGGATGGAAATGCTTTCTTAACCGATTTTTTAAATGTGCATTATGTCTGATTTATGATGGACCCAAGGGTTTCTAGCAAAATTTGGATATTGAAAACTCCTTAAGAGAAGAAGCTGCCCTCTGAGCAGCTGATAGATCGGCTTTAAAAACAAAAATGCTTAGAGCTAGAAGAAAAGCAGAAAAGGAGGAAGTAGGAAAATGCTCTTTAACGGAGTTTATCCTCTTGCAGCTGCAGGGAGCTGATGGAGGTAATTCATTTGCAGATCTGTGTGTGAAAGTTTTACAAGTCATTGAAAACTAAAGTCGCATCTCTGTAATGGATCATTAAAGTCACTACATTTATAGGTTTTAAACAGGCTACCTGAAGTGTTAATTAAATGGAAATAGATTTTCTGGCTGGGTTATAAACAAACATTTAAAAAAAAAAAGTTTTAATTATAAATTAGTCATTGGAAATTAATGGTCATCCGGTGCCTGAGCAACATAAAATGAGCTGTCATCATATCTGCGCGTAGCTGGTGCCGTAACCACTCTGCCGGCAGCACCCACCAAAATTACGTTGAACTGAGTGTAACAATGGGGTGCATATACTACGCTTAATCTGTGATACAAAGAAGGCCTTTCAAACCGATGCCTTGTTTGCACAGGGATCAAAAACCAAAATCTTCATTTTTCAAATTTTTGGTCGAGCTGGGTGAGTCAGTGAGTTACTTCTTTGGCCCCCTGACAGACTTGCCCTCCTACACCCATGTTCATACACCTGTGGTGCTCAGGATTTCTTGCTCCTACTGGGCTCTCACATTCGGTAGAGAAACCCAACACTGTCCTTACCCTTTGCAGGTGAGAAATTCGATGAATAAAACTGTGTAGAAGCTATTCTGAAATAGGAGCTGTTTAATAGGCTGAACAACAGGATATATGGCTAGAGCTTTGTGTATTTTGTATGCAACTGCATAACGATGCCTGTAAAATTACGTTTCCACTTGTAGTATACATTTTTTCTCGCAGCCAGACAGTTGATATTTTTTCATCTTCTCTGTAAAAAGTTATGATTAAAGCAATATTTCAGTATGGTGTTTAGTTGCGATTCACAGTGTTCTCTGGTTATAGTCTCAAAGCCTTCGATGAGAAAGTCTCCTCATAAATAACCAGGCAGTTATTACGTCCGAGTGTTATCCGATTCCCAATATTACATAACCCAAATAGGACTAAGTTCATAAGCTGAAGTCTTCTGGAATTCCGGTCATTCCATTATGGCTTTACAATGGAACTGGGGCTTAAAAAAATAAAGACAGAAAGGCAAACTCATATCCCGGGTTCTGTTAGGATTGGGACTCCAAGCACAACAGGTAGCAGGTACCGTGCTGACCACCCAGGCCATGTTTCACTCTCACAGAATTATTTCGGAAGAAAATAAAGTTTCTCCTCACAGGACGGAGATGCGGTGTGATGGCATCTAACAAAGCCAAGCTCCGTTTAGCTGTGGGAGCCCCACAGCAGATGTCATTCATGTTGCAGACTGACCACCAGGCTGCCTGCCCAGGATTTTGACAATCTGGGAGAATTCCACCTCCCTCCCTACCCCCCACCTCCCCACACAAAATCCATTGTATGCAGGATTAGGCAGGATGGAGCCAAAAAAGGAAGGGTTGAGAAATAATAAATTCACACCTTGAGAAGGCAAAGGGGTGTGTCATCCCTCCCCCTGCAAGGCTAAAGTAGTATGAAGTTACTTAGCACAACTAAAAGGCTCTGCTTAAAAGACAGTGCCCACAGGGCAATTCCAGTTGCTTGTCAAAATCTAAATCGACGGTTCCAGATGGTAAACATTCGGAGACGTATTTATGGTGACTTCTACATACCTCCGTTTGACATTTGGTTTCTTCCTGACAGCACTTGAGCTGGTAACACACATGAAGTTCCCATCAGTATCCCAACAGCTGGAAAAGTGTTTGAGCGCCAAGGCTGGTCCTCCCGGTGAAGGGAAAATAACCGGGAGTGCAGATCTCCATTTGCACTGTGGATGCGTCCTGCTATCTGGGCACGCAGTGAGCTATCTCAGAGGCGAAAAGCCATCTGAAAGCTCAATTCAGTAAGTCGCAAAATCCACTTTTATGGCGGAGTGGAAAACTAAAATACATGAATCCAAATATTCACTGACCTCGTGCTAGCTTATGAGTGGGAACCTTCATCAAAGAATTAAGGGGGCTCTTCTCTGTTTCCTTCTAAGAAAATTTATGTGGCTTCGGGCAGACTGTTGTGGTCCTTTCTATTGTGGTAGTTAATAGTAGAGACAAGTGTCAAGGGTGACACTTTGCATTTCCTTTCCTGACTGTATGTCCATGTGGGAATGCATGGGGGTTGCAGGCTTTTGTATTTTAGATTTAAAATGGTTTACTCTTTACGAATCCATAAAGCAAGATTTGTGACACTCAGTATTGAGTTTTCTCCAACTATTGCCATGTGGATGAGGCCAACCGGTGGGTCAGGTCAGGACATCTGGTTCTTTTTCCCTTGTACAATATTTTTGTGTAGAGAGCGTGGAGTACGTTTAAGGGGATTAAAATGTTTAAGGTGCGGACTCTAAATAGATTATTATTTTTAGCATCATTATTGACTTTGAGGGAAAAGAAGCTCATGTATGAAATTAATTCTATGGTCATATGGTAAATTTACCTTTACTTTAGGTTAGATCCCTGGGCGGGGGGTGGGGGAGGGGGGCATTTGAAAGAAGATATTTTTGGAAAAAGTATTTCTGAAATGTGTTTCCTATTTAAAGTATTTTCAATTCTATCTCAATATGTTGGGAAGGAGGAGAATTAGCCTGTTAGCTCTTTTTTTTCTCTCTAATATCCTCGTCACCCCCATAGCTAATGTGTCATCAAATTCCGTGAGTCCTTCCTTTAGAACATCTCTCATATCTGGCCTACAGCCACCGCTCCAGAAGGATCGCGTCACATGTGGGTCATTACGACAGCCTTCTAGCAGGTCCGCTTGCCTCCATTTCCCTCTTCTGTCCACCCCTGCAGACTGAGCTTCCTAGAACTCTGCTTCCATCAAAGCATTTCTGACCTGAGAATTCCTACTACGTGGGCCGTCATTACCCACAGAGTGCAGTTCACATGACATGCTGGTCATCTGTTATTTGGTCCCAACTCTCCAACCGTGTCTTCCACCAAATCAACACAATAGCCCAAGTCTCTTGTTCCCTGAAGCCCAGGTGGCCTCTCTGGCTCCCACCCCCTCCTGGTCTCTTCTCTGAACCCAACCACTCCAGTTTTCTAGCTTGTATACGAAACGAGAGTCTGTCCTCGTGGGCACCCTTCCTTCTGGTTCTACGTTTGTGAGGCTGTGTGTGGAACATTCCTCACCTCTCTAAACTCATCCTTCAAAATGTCCACTTAAGTCCCATCTCCTCCGAGAAGCCACCCCCAACCACCACATCTCACAATGTTTTCCTTCCCTTGAAGCTGACCATTAGTGATCCATGGGTTGCACTTGGTGCATTCGCCTTCTTCTTATGATGTTTTCTACTTTGCCATTTTATCCCTTGACTCTTCGGGTAGGGTGAAGTCTCCTGAGACAGGGAGTGGCTTGGTCCACTTTTCTTTCCCATGGAAGATACTAATAAGTGTGTGTTGACTAGCTCACAGGGACATTCAAACATGCAAGGCACTTTACTCTCTGGTTACCCCACTTTAGACCTATTTGCCAGCTCTTAATAGCCATCTCCACCCACGAGAGAAAAGAAGAAAAAAAGATGACCCCTGATTGGTTGTATTTTGGGGTAGCTTAGAAAAAATTCCACTTAAACAGAATGTGGAATTATTGCCCCAAATTAAGTTTGAGTATTATAATGACAGATCTCCATCTATTTCAGCTTTCTGTAACTATGGTAGAAATTACAGCTATTGGCTGCCCCTCATGGTATAAAATTTCAACCATGATTTTGGAAGCAGGCGAGTACAGTCTTTGGGTTCAGACAGAGTTGTGTTCTAATCCAGGGACCACCTCTCTGTAGCTGAGTGGCCTCGGACAGGTGACTTACCGTTCAGGCCCCTGACAGAGACAGAATTCTTTACCTTGAGGATGTTGTGAAGAAAACACGTAAAGCACCTAGCTTGGCGCATGTGCAATAGATGGGAGAGAAGGAAGGTTGGTAAGTATAGATACAGATCCAGGATGCATGACTGTGTTCACCTCAGTTATGTAAGTCACTAATTTCATGTATTTATGGTGTGTCTTTCCTTTTTTGCCACCAAAGGCAGGGGTAGGGGAAGGGAGCTCAAGAGAGTGAGATTGGTGGACTTGGGGAGAGATGGGGAAGGAGGGGAAAGGGAGGGAGGGGAGAGGGAGTGGGAGAGGGAGGTGGAGGAAGTGGCCGCTTTTGGCATTAGGAGTTTGGAGCAACTGAGTTAATGGATCTGTGGGGACAATGGTGACAGTTGAATACACTTCGCAGGGAGGAGCAGAGTCCTGGGTCCTGCGCTAAAGGATCATAAAGAGCAGGCACTGGGCTGCAGCACTGGGGGAAACAAAGGGATGGAGCAGTGGACCCCAGCAAGGAGCTG